GGAGCAGGGCTTGTAACTGAAAGGTTGCTGGTTTGATTCCTTGGTGGGACACTGCTGCTGTACACTTGGGCAAGGTAGTAACCACAGAATTGCCTCAGTAAATATCTAGCTGTAAAGATGGATAACATGTAAAAATTTTAACCTGTGTAAGTTGCTCTGGATAAGAGTGTCTGCTAAACGACAGTAATGTAATGTAATGTAATATTCCTTTCTGACCTAATACACATTCCCCTTAGAAGCGCATTGGTATACACAAACTTCTCTTATTAGCACATTTGGGCAACTGAGGTTTTTTTTATTTGTTTGCTGGCTAGGGGACAGTATATATGTCTGCCAAAATAAATCATTTCCTTCTCACCCCCCTTCCTTCCACACCCCCCCCTTCCCATCCCAGAGGCACAAATAATTTCCGTGAAGCGTTGCCATACTCAAAATGAAAAGGAATCCTCCTCTGAGACGCGTGACTTGAGGAGCGCGTGACTCCGAGCCGCCCGGCTACATCTGGGATTCTTTTCAGGAGCGTCACTGTGTTTTTCCTCATCATTCTCGCTCAGGTGCCAAAAGCGTGTTGTTACTCTGCGTCCCCGCGCTCCCAGCCGAATGACTGCCCACTCCCCTCCCAAAAAATTTTGCCCGGATATGCCGATGGCCGCCACCAATGCCGCTCACCGCAGGCATTACAGGTGATGTTAGCGTGCCTTGCAGCCTGCGCCCCCCAGATTCACGACTGTGTAGATTAGACTCAAAGCGTTTATGTCCTCCTCCCGCTCTCGTATTTTGTTTTTATTCACGAGGCGCAAGGTGAATCACTGAGCCATTACACACAGCATTTACTCAGGGGACAGAGAGGGGCTATAATAGCAGTGATCAAATAATCCTAAAAAAAAGCCATAAGGGACGATGCAGAGAGGGGGTCTGGAATTGGTTCCCTCCCCCTCTTCCTCGTTTCGCAGGGCCTTAAACAAATGCAGGGGCATCAAAGAGATTAGAGCCAGCAGAAATGTCGGTGCGTGTTTAATCTATCAGTGAGTGATAGGCGTGTGGTGTGCGGACGTGAGCCGGTCCTGCGGTCTGCTTTCACAGGGGGTCGAACGGCAGCTGTCCTCCACTCCATTCCTTGTTGATTCATCACTCATAAGGAGGATTAGCGGCGCGAGCCGGAGGCCCGGGGGCCGGGACACATGCCCGAGAGAGGGGATAAAACTGAGATCACAGAGAGACCTGACCCCGACACACACGCACACACACACACACACACACACACACAAACAGAAACAGAAACAGAAACAGACAAACAGTCATACACACGCACATCCCTGCATTTCTCTACTGAACAGCTGTTGAGAGGCGCTGACACTACTGGCATTACAGAGATTCTAAACAGAGGGGCTCTTGTTAGATTATAAAGATTATAAACAATGACAGAATAAGTCTCTCACGCACACAGGAAGGAGATAACAACAAAATCCACAGCACAGAGAAGAGAGTCAACAACATCTACAGCACAGGGAAGAGTCAAAAACAACATCCGCAACACAGGCAAGAGAGTCAACAACAACATCCGCAACACAGGCAAGAGAGAGTCAACAACAACATCCGCAACACAGGCAAGAGAGAGTCAACAACATCATCCACAGCACACGGTGGGTTTGCATTAGCCTTTTGCAGCTACAAGTGGCCAGAAACACTATGCTACTCTCCTCAGACCTTATCAGGTTTTTTTTTTTTTTTTTTGCTTTGACTTCAACTGTTTTCATCTGTATTACAGATCATAAACAAGGAACAAATTATATGCAAAATATAAATGATTTGTAATGAGCGGTGAGGCGGAGGGAGGGTGTTATCTCAAAGCGGCATGTTCATCGATAAGCTCAATCAATCACAGAGAAGAGCTGCAATGAGCTGTGAATTTCAACTCTATCTTTCTGCGTACTGGAACAACATCACATGGACTTCTTTCAACGCCCTGCAAACAAGTGCTTTTTTTTAATTCATTTGAAAAGTGCCGTTTAATGAACAAGAAAGTGCTATAAAGGAAACAGTGCTTAATCTTCTCTCTTCCACTCTGTCATTCCCTCACCATTGTTGTTTTTCCACTGCATTAAACTGATTGGACCTTGAACTTTGCTTCCCAGTAATCTGATAATAAGGTTCGGACAGTTGCTGAGAGGGATGTGAGATCAGCATGGAGCTAAAATCCTCAGATGAGCAAAACTCCCTCACCCCATTTCTTAGAATTTTCTCTCTTATTGAATTTGAATTTGAATTCTCTCTCCATCTCTCTCTATATGATTGACCTCTAACCTCTCACCCCTGGGTAAAGGCAGTGGTTCACAGTCTGCACATTAGGAAAACTACACAAATGCAGAAAACAGTCAAGTGAGAGACACACAGATGGGTATGAACTACACAGGCTAGACATGAATAAGAGGGACGTTCAGTGTGTTTCAGATGAAACTGATGTGTCAGAAATGGAGCGGCATCATATTTACAAGTATTGTTTTTTCTCATATATTCAGAGACAGATGCTACAGGTTTCGTGGGAAATCATGTGCACACATGCCTGCAAACACATGCATGTAAACACAACAACAACTTGCGCAGACTGTGAGATGAAGGAGTACAGCACAAACACAATATAAATTAAACACACACACACACACACACACACACACACACACACACACACACACACACAAATGAACATTGAAAGTAAATGGTATTTAACTCTACTTACAGTCCTCGAAGCCGAAGCCAAATCTTCTCAATCTGCTCTGGTTGCAGGTACTTCAGTGAGTTGCTCTCAAAATCCTCGATTTCCTTGGTGGGCGATTCCATGACTTTTTCCAGCAGTGGCAAAAAAATCAATAATTAAAAACAAAATAACAAATAAAATGAAATAAAAAGTAAATTATTATGATACAGAGAGGGGTGGTTGAGGAACCCTTGGTTGATGGAGCAGCGGAGGGGAAGTTGGTGTTTGTTTTTTGGAGGAGTCCCTTTCTCCCCCTCGGTTCCCTCTCCCCCTGCTAGTGCCGCGGAGGCGGAGGTGGTGGTGGTGGCGGTATTGGCGGTGGTGCTGGGACAGTTCCAGTCATCCTTCTTCCCCTCCCTGTCTCTGCCTCGCTCTCTCTCTCTCTCCCCCGCTGCTCTGTCTGGGTGTACGCGAGTGGCCCCCTCAGCTCGGAGAGCGTGTGTCACCAGCTCGGGTTTCAGGTGCACAGTGAGCGCGTGCAGTGTGCAGCAGGCAGCGGCACTTGGGGGCACGCACTCTCTGATGAATACAATGCACAGTAGGGATTAGGGGGCTGTCGCGGCTGCCACTAACACTGATGCTGCTGCTGCTGAACTGCGGACACACGTATCCGTGGTACGCAATCAATAACAACCCGGCACAGAGAGAGGGAGAGAGAGAGAGAGGGAGGGACAGAGAGAGAGGGAGGGACAGAGAGAGAGAGAGGGACAGAGAGAGAGAGAGAGAGAGGGAGGGACAGAGAGAGAGAGAGAGGGAGAGAGAGAGAGAGAGGGAGGGAGAGGGAGAGAGAGAGGGACAGAGAGAGAGAGAGAGAGAGAGAGAGAGAGAGAGAGAGAGAGGGAGGGACAGAGAGAGAGAGAGGGAGAGAGAGAGAGAGAGGGAGGGGAGGGAGAGAGAGAGAGAGAGAGAGAGAGAGAGAGAGAGAGAGAGAAGGGAGAGGGAGAGAGAGAGAGAGAGAGAGGGAATGAGAGAGAGAACAACACAAATATAGGGAATCCAGCCTTCTGCCAATTGAACTGCTGTGGCGTGTAAATGGAAGGGGCGTGGAAATTCCACACATGCACCCACCCACACACACACACACACACACACACACACACATACAGTACATACATACGCACACACACACACACGCACAGACAAACACACACATACACACATACGTGAGTGGACTTTAGGGTTCAGATCTGATCTGATTCACTGCCCACATTCCGGTTAACAGTGGCAGAGCAGGACACTCTCTGTCCCCTCTGTCTGTCTTTCTGTGACACACACACACAGCGCACCCCGAAATAGTGACAGCTGAGAGGTCTCTTCCGCCTGGAGTGGGAGACTGAAACAAAGACTCCACTTAGCCAGGGGAATGGGAGAGAGAGACAGAGAGAGAGGAAGTGAGACAGACAGACGGACAGATCGCGACAGAGACAGGGGGAGAGAGGGAGAGCAACAGAGATGGGAGGAGAGATAGAGAGAGACAGAAAAAGAGCATCATAGGACTAAATTACACCTAAAACCTGTCTCAATACAAGACTGTCTCTCACCTTGTCTCTCTCTCACTCTGTCTATGTCTCTTTCTTTCACAGTAATGCAACTCCAAATAAAATGCACAACATTTAGGAAAGGACACGACTGAACAATAGCAATGCAAAGGTGTCAGAGACTGCAATTACACTGACACTTCTCTCTGGTCTACTGAGAGCTGAGGCTAAGAACGCAGAAGGAAAGCATTGACCACTTTGTGTGAGAATTAGTTCAGTTCAGTTCAATGAAACTGCACTGAGAATCACGGCAATGTCTGGGTCTCTCTGTTCTGCTGTAATCTGATCTGAAATCTGAGAAAGAACACAATGAGAATGTTGTACGAATGTTACGATAACTCAGTCAGACTGCAGTGTAATGCAAGTACAGCGAAAACGCTGAGGAAACACAGAATGGACATTATGAGAATGTTGCAAGAATCTCTGTCACAAAGTCTGTACAATAGAAAATTCAAAGTTGTGAAATAATTAAGTTTTAATTTCTCACATACAAATATGATATCAATGTGCAAGTTTTATCAGACACAGGCCTAATGCACTGTTCAAGACAAAGTAAACTTTCAGGAGAAGCCTATGCCATATTCCTTGCACCCCAATTCCTGCTAAATATGCAATGCAGTTGTTGAAGTATGACATTATTGTATACAGCATGGGGGAGGGCCTGCTTCATCCTTGATTGATAACGCACAAATCAAAACACACCTCTTTAAATCTGGCCTAATGGATAAGGCATCAGCCTCTAGTGCTGGGGATTGTGGGTTCAAATCCCACCTGGGTTGAGTAACTTGAGTGCACTGAGATACATGAGGTTAAAAATTGATATGTTAGCTTGAGGTACTGCTGTGTTTGTTATTTATATGATCAGAGGTCATACACTTGATTCCCTGCTAGGGCACTGCTCCTGTACCCTCGGATAAGGTACTTAACCCACAATTGCCTTGGTAAATATTCATCTAAATGGATAATTTGTGACCTATGCAAGTTGCTCTGGATAAGAGCGTCTACTAAATGACAATAATGTAATGTCGTTACTACCTGCCTGTTGGGGTGTAGTAACCAAAAAGCTGGTGGTCTCTTCCTGCCATTCATGGTAAAATCAAGAGAGAGGCCAAAGTTCAAAATGTCCCACTTCTTGGGCTAAAATTCAGCAAGAGACCTTTTATTTTGATAACAGAGCTCCTTTTCATTAAAAAAGTCACAAGTCCTCACTCCTTTCTGATTCAGTGTAGTGACCCAATTTTCCAGCTGCCTCAATGCTTAAACACAATTTTGAAAGATGCTGAACGTAAATGTTTTGTTTTTTGCAAATCTCCCCGTCGACGCTGCTCCCTTCACCTCTGCATGTGCAGATATCAGAGCAGAGAAAGCAGGGAAATCACCGCCGCGAACCGCCCACGTGTTCAGAGCGTGAAGAAGAGGCAATTAGTCCAAACGGGCCGGGCCTGCGGACCACGGCCGACCCAGACATGGCCTTATGGGAAATGTCAGGCACAAACAAACAGCCGGGAAGCTTCGTGTGAGGAAGTCCCTCTTTTTCGCGGTACAAGTTGTTCCGCTAAAAACCACGCTGCAGCGTTGGCTCTGCCTGATTGACAGCGAACTGGAAAAATCTCCTGTTCTCAGGCTTACTGTGTCAAGTTGCTCGCTCTGAAAATCTTCCACGTCGGGCTCATGCTTTGCGAAAGGGCAGAGGCGCACAAAGGTGACATTCGCTCTGCATGGCAGGACTCTAGTCTAGACACGACTGGAGAAACCTCAAAGCAGATTGTTACTATTTTGATGGACAGCCACTGTAAACGATAAACAGTCAAGCTGAGTAGAGTCAAGTCATGATAACTGCATGTGATAGGGACCATTGTGATGTCATGCTCTTATATGCACAGAGCAGGAATACATAAAAGAAATGGGATTAATACACAGTACTATGCAATAAAACCAGCCAACAGTCATCAGCTATGCATCATTTCATAATGAACAAACAGGGCTGAATGCAGGACAGATTTGTATTTCGCCCATGTGTCTTTTGACGTGATCAATGTATTTGTATATCTCACTTTTTATTTATACCGACTACTGATGATAAAATCTTTTTGCAAAAGTTCTCCTTGCTCTGGTTCCACTTTTTCAGGGAGGAAAAAAACATTCTGATGAAATGGAATATCTATATCTAAATATTGATGCATGTGGAACTGATCTCATAACTTGCCCGGAGTATTTGGCAGCAGATAATTTTTAAAACATAATTGAGCTTGTGAGTGTGTTAGCCTCCCTACAATCTGATGAATTTATGCACAAAGGCTTAGACAGCGTACATTTTAACATAATATCCACTGATAAGAATGGATAATTACTGAAGCAATCTGGCTATGACACCTTTCACAGGGTTACATTTCCAGCGCAACAGCATTTGTTATGTACACCGCAGAGTCAAACGGGACCGTCAGTCTAAATATTCATCAGGTGGGCATTCAAAGATGCCCGGTGTGTCCGATTATAGCGTACACTCTTCCTGAGTGTAATATTTTCACTTTGTTTTGTTTATAGTTTATATTGTTTTTGTTTATAGAGCTCTCAGTTCTTTGAAGACGGGGAGCTCTGTGGGAAATATAATCTGGCAATAAAAGGCCATCTTGCGTCCGCTTCCTGCGGGGGGAGCATTGCCGGATTATCCATGTTATCGGGAGGCTGCGCTGAGTGGCACAGAGGCCAGGCTAAGAGGATGTATGCCACTTTCATTACGAGGAAAACGCCAAAGCCCCTCTCTCTGCAGGGACGCAGAAAAACCATTCAAAAAGACCATGTGACCAGATTACTACACTATACATGCAAAACCTATTATTATTATTATAATTATTATTATTATTTGATTGGACAAGGAGCTGTGACAAAATAGCCAAACACAAAGTAGACAGAAAAAGCATATTTGTGACTTCACCTCTGAGGCATCTTGAAGTAACTGGTCTTTTTCTGGTGTTTTGTGTTACGCAGAACAGAACTAAGGAATGCAGCAATCAGCAGTAATAAGACTGCTAAAATATAATTTTTGTCTGATATGCTTTTATAAAATATCATTCTGGAAAAGTGCACATCCACACACACACACACACACACACACACACACACACACACACACACACACACACACACAGATGTCCATTAGAGCATGTGTTTGGGCTTTGGACTCACACACTGTGTCAGAGTCGCTCTGAGTTCACTGCACAACGTCATGGAGCAGAACATGAGATGAACTTACACCCCTGATTCGATCAAAAGGAGCAAAGTCATCTGAAGAGGAAGTGCTACTTGACCAAAAAAAAAAAAAGACTTTTCAAGATTAATCTGACATCATATAATAAAGCACATTACTTTACAATAACGTAACCCCTGGATTCTGTCAAAGTCATCATGCTGACTTCAGGAAAGTGCTCTTTTCATTTTATAAAAGACCACTGGATTAACATGATGTCCGATTATTCTCAGTATTTTTTTTTTCTTTTTAAAAGCACTTTCCTTTAAAATTTCTTTGCGGTGTTTGCAGAACCCAGGAGTCAGTCTGGGGGTTAGAGGACTTGCATCACCAAGCTTTGACAGCCTCTGATCTGCTGTAACTCAACAATCAATGCAATGTCTCCCAAAGCAAAAGGAGATGGATGGCAAGGTTTCATCCAGTGAATGGAAAACTTAATTCATTCTGGGACATCTGATACCAGCCCCGACCCTGATTGTGATTTTTTTCATATAATTACATCAGATATTTGCGCTGTGGTCGATATTTCCGCCTAATGACTTAAGGAAAAGCAAAAATAACCAAAAAGCCATTAGCGCTACCCACCCCTATCGCCTCTCTGGCCCGTGCGGACGTTATTTTGATCTGAGTCTGACAGGAAATTTTATGATCTTATCTTAATGATGGGTGTCAAACTGCATCATGTTACTCGTTTCAAAGTTCGGTCTGAAATGAATATTATTTATTTAGCTATGCTTTTTTTTGCTATGTGCCCAAAGGAGAATGTCTGAGATCCCTGCGGTAACTGCTCTTGATACAGTCAACATTTGTCCTGCAATTTATTTCACAAATAAATGAAACTTCTGTGTTACTGTTTTACTTCAAAAACACAACTTGGTGAGTTCAGCAAATGCCAAAAAGGTTTTGTATTGATGAAAAACATTTACCATCTTTCTGCAAGTCAAAATTAAGAACGAATATTGGTTGAATTCAGAGTGGCTGTGTAGCATAATGGTAAGGAGCAGAGCTTGTAACCACAAGGCTGCTGGTTTGATTCCCCACTAGGGCACTGCTGCTGTATCTGTGGGCAAGGTACTCTACCTCCCTTCCTTTGTAATTAGCTAGCGGTATAAATGGATAACATGTAAAAATTCTAACCCCTGCAAGTTGCTCTGGATAAGAACGTCTGCTAAATGCCAATAATCTAATGTAATACCCTCAGTCTGTGCCTGTGACAGAGGCAATGATTATGGTACAAAATCTTTTCTATATTTCCTACTCTGGTGAACTGGTGAACTAATAGGTTACACCTTTACTTGCCAGAGTACAACCTTGTCCACGGTGACTTACTGTGGAGCTTGAATTGGCTTGGCAGTTAGGGAGTGAAACCACCGCCTGGAGAGGCACATGACCCCAGGCCCTGCTACGCTACCACCGCCACCATGGCACTCGGCCACCCACGCCGTGTTAGGGAAACACCACCACACCTGTTCGCCGGAGGCTTCACCGAGCTGGCAGATCTGCATGCTGTCATGCGCTATGAGGCAGGGGCCAATCGTTAGAGCAGTGCTCTGTACATGAAGTACTCTGAGGGTCCCCTCGCCCTCTCACCCCTGTCTATTTCCCAGCCATGGCAGCCATAGATGACTACCCCTCTCGCTCACCAACAGAGGCTTTAAATCTAGCCATCCTTTTTTTTTTTTTAAAGACAAGAGGCAGCTGTCTCAGTTTGGGATAGATTCAGAAGTCCTACGATGCAGAGAGATGTTCACCTGCATTCAATCCCAGCCGCCGAATCATCTTCAGAAACAGTACTATTCAGGTAAGTCACTTTGTGATGTCGCATAAGATATATGTAGGGAAAGGTCCCCGGTCCTAAAGTGACCCACAAAGAGTGAAAATCCACCTTATGCTGTAGACCACAGACACGTGCACGCCTACTCTGTGTCCTTCATGCAAAAGCCTTCATTTTATTATGAATGTCAACTGAAAAATCTGAGCCCTACAATAGTGACGCAAATGAATAAGTAACTACAATTTAAAAAAAGAAGAGACAAAAAATCACTTTAGTCAAGGAATTCTGACTTCAGTGGAAACAGGTGATCTAAAAAAAGTCAAAAGAGGAAAGCCAAGTGGAGCAAAAAGCATGGGGGACTGGGGGGGAGGGGTTGTGATGACGCAAAGCCTGGAGCCACGTGCACTCCAAAAACAGCACGAGTCCTTTTCTTCATCTCCCCCCTCTGTCTCTCACTCTTCCTCTTTTCCATTTCTCTCCCTCCCTCTCTCTCTCTCTCTCTCTCTTTCTCTCTCTCTCTGTCTCTCTTCCCCTCTCTCTGTCTTTCTCTCTCTCTCTGTCTGTCTCACCCTCTCTATCTCTCTCTCTCTCTCTCTCCCTCTCATTCTCTCTCTCTCTGTCTCTCTTTCTCTGTCTTTGTCTCTCCTTCTTGTTGGTGAGTCAGCCCGCTCATTTCAATTACCAGATGCAGGGGGACCAGGAGGGGGCCCCAGGGCCCGGCTCAAAGGATGGCTGCTGCTTTCTGTGCTTTCATGTGCTG